CTTTGTTGATCAAAGAACTGGTTATTTGTTGTGTGGACCAGGGGGTGTGGCGTGGAGCGCCAAGGTGCGGGCTCGACCGTGCAATCCACCTGCGTCCTCTCCCCGCCTTCGGTCTTATTGACACCGGGTCGAGGTGGGGAGTGGGAAGAGTGCGGTAGATGCTGCGCAAGCCCACTATCAGTATAAACTAATTGACGCGCAAGTCACCTTTCCTGCCCTCACAATGCTGCAGAGCTCACGGTGGACATCGTCGAAACCGACGACATGAAGCGCCGCATGCCGTCTAGGCCGTAACTCACACTGGACTTCAGCGGTTGTCTGTGACAACTTAACAACCCCATTACTTACTTGTACTTGGTGCAGCTGCAATCATGCCTGATCTAGCCGGCCTCGATGATGTCCCGAACTGTACCTCTCCACGCGTGACGATCCGCGGCAGCAGATCTGGACAGCTCAACCCAATCCCTTTGCCGACGACGTAGACCGAATACCGAAGGTCCAAGAACCACCTCCATGTCTTGCAGAACTACGGTCGAGCCAGGTTTTGAACTGGCCCCCCCCCCCTTCGACGTCTCCAGTGGGGCAACGGTGCCGGATCGAGGGCAGTAACACTGAGTTCCTGAGGTGGACGACGAAGAACATGCCCGAACCACCTCAGTTGTCTTTCTTGGATGGCCTGAGTTATCCTTGCGATGTTGTCGCAACGAGGGCGGACTGTCTCATTTGAAACGAAGTCGGTGAACTTCACTCGAAGGATGGCCCTCAAGCAGTGGTGGTCAAATACCTCCAGTTTTCGCTCGTCCTCCACGCGCAAAGCCCAGCATTCACAACCGTAGAGGAGGACAGACCGGACAGATGCACAGTACACGCGAATCTTAGTGGCGGTGGGGCGGTCACGTCGGATCCATAGGCATTTCCTAAGGCTTAAGAAATCCCAGCGGGCAGCATCGATTCGGGAGAAAATATCGTCCTTACTCTGCCCATTCGGCAGCAGCCTCGCTCCGAGGTACTTAAAACTGCTTACTTCTTCAAGTTGACAGCCATCAATCCCGAGGGGTGCCCTCTCCTGGTCAGGGATGCAGCTTAAAAGCACTGTAGTCTTCCCAGCGTTTACGGATAAAGCGACCGATTTAGCGACCTCGTCCACCCGTGACACCATAGACTGCAGATCACCAAAACTTGAAGTAAGTAAGGCGATATCATCGGCATAGTCGAGATCAGTCGGCCGGTGTCCGGGTGAAAACTCAACGCCGTCAGTCTGGCGTAGGGCCCTCCGGAGGATCCAGTCAACAGATTAGTTGAACAGAATGGACGACAGGATACAACCCTGTCGAACGCCAGACCGGGAAGGCGGGTTGCTCGTTAGCCTAACTGCTGGCTACCCGGCACGTCCACAGGTGGCGGATAGTGGGACGACCTTCAGTGAAGGTTAGCTGAGAAATAGGCAGACCCATGTCTGACGAATAAGCAGTCGCAGACCAGCAGCGACATTGCTACCAGGGTGCGGTGGATTGAGGTCTGGCACGCTGAATGCCTTATAAAAAGCCGCAAAGCCCAATGACGGCATTGTGACATGGCGACCCTAAACCGCCATTAAATAAGTTTACTTGCCACCGGTGCCTTGTGGTTAGGCTTTTAAGTCAAAGCGATAGAGGAGACAACGTCGAAAATACATTCTGAGCTGCATTTGGGGGCTCGCCTGTATTCGAAATTCCCAAGAAACCTCATGAAATATGTCAGATCACAGTATTACGACACCAAACAACCCCATTTAGGAAAGGACGGCTATAAGGGGGCTAGAAAGTGTGCCCCAAAGTGCTGGTAAGACAGGTCGGCAAGCTGACTCGGAAAACCACAAAAACAACGACCCACCTTCCGCATTATCATGTTTACACAGAAGTTGCCTTTACTATTCAGGATGGCTTGCCTCCTACGCGGGATATCAACGATCGTCCTGGGATCTCGCGACTGCCAGTCCCCGGAGAGAAAATCGTAACCGTACCAACTGCCTACACCTACCTCACAATGAACAAATCCGATAACGTAGAGAACAAATTATACAGAGGCCTCCATGGCCTCCTAGTGGATGCGTCGATGACGGACAAACTGGTTGGCCTCGGTGACTTCGAGGTTTTGTTAGACTCTGTGTGCAGTCTTATTCCTAGTCAGCCGGGTTTGGATAAGCCACCGGTGCATGGGAGAGGAGTGAGACTGACACTGGAGAATCCATCTTCACGGCACTTCAACGTATGACTCATTATAATGGGCGATGCCTTAATAGTCGTGTCTTCGGAGGTGGCCAACTGACGTGGTATCTCGATGCCTCTCGGCACTGGCAGTCAGGCTGAAATGACTCCTTCTTAATGTGGCCCTAATGACAATCTCACCCCCGTAAGGTGTGAGACTCCTCACCGCGTGGCACATCTTGTGGGAATCGGGTCGTCTTGTGATCAAAGCTTATTGATTGAGGCGGGCGGAGCCCGTGTTCGTTCTAGCACAAACAAAGTTACATGCAAGTAATCGTTGCTAGGCCAACCTCGTGGGGCCAAGGTGGAAGCTGTTGCTTAAGACAGTCGAGCTGTCGCGTGATTTAACACTGCTGACTACGACGAACGTGGCCGACATGCACGGCTGTTGAGACTTGCGAGCAGGTGAGCCCGTGTGGCCTGCAAATGCTGCGAATGTCTGCACTGCTCCATGGAAGTGTGCTACCAAACATGAAATTCTCAGAACAAGTGCGCAGGTGCATCTTGATGGATGCCCAATTAAACAGAAGGACGCAAGGTGCGTGAAGCATTGGATATCTCCACAGACTGTGGCCAATGTTGCGCTCGCAGAAAGATGCACTGTGAACCAAAGCTACAAGGGAAAAGTGGTCTGTCCAGTGGTGATTGAAAGCGCTGGAAAGCTGTGCCTGATTGTTAGCTTAGCTCTAAGTTCACCTGACTTCGGACATGAAACCATCCTTGCAAAAACAACTGCTACGGGAAATGCACACTCCTAAGCTTGACTAATGAGCAGTCATAAGTCGTGCAGAGGTCACCGACCTGTTAAGTTGGGGAATTAGGAATAGGCAAATGTCGCCGGCCATCCAATAATTCACCGCCTGAGACAGCAATCCTAGGAAGTGAGGCCAAATAAATACGCGCGGCGGTAATGAGGAATATCACCAAAATTACGAGGATTTGCGACAAACCGCCTACATGAGCACAAACTGGAAACTCGGAGACTGGACCCAAACTCACCGATTGCGGCTCACATCGGGGAAACTGGTCACAGTTTTGATTTTCAAGGAGGAGCCGTATTAGGCACGGGCACCTCAAGGACAGTGCTTCTCACACTTGAGGCTTGGTACTCAAATGTTAACTGCATCAACATGCATCTAGGCCTTCCCGCGGCCTATAAAGTCCTACGTCACTACATGCGCCGTGAGGAAGACAAGGAGTCTAAGATTACCGAGCAAACACGGCCTGTCGACCAGTTCACCCAAAAGGGGAACGCAAACGCAACTAGCCCCAATTGAAGTAACGACACGTAACACAGGAGGCCACCAACACTAACAAACAACGGCCAGTAGGCCAAGGCAGCGAAAGAAGAAAAAAATCGATTAGCCCAAGGCCAACTAATCCGGCTGTCTATTGAAAATTCTGATCGATTTTTTCACTAGACGATTTGATAATATAGAGCCGCCCCAGCTCTTCGAAACGTCAGCCAAACAAGTCCCTCGATTCGGTGGGCACTTCATTTTCCTCAGAAGACAATTTATGTTAGAACGCTGGCGGAAAACCGTGCGCCCGGAACTCAACCAGTAGGCCAGATGTCAATGGCAGGTTGCTTGCTGGAACGCGACTCTCGAGGACAAAGTCCTTTTAACCCTCACGACGCGTATCCCCTTAAGCTGTGACCTTGACATTGTCTGACCGTCGGAAGTAACCAAAGTCCAGGGGTCTGACATTATTCGCCAACCCCAGTATCGAGACGAGTACTATAAGTCCTATAGGCAAAAGTAAATATCCCCTGGCTTTAAGATATAAACTCCAACAACAAGGACTCACAAGCCGCCTTGCTCTGTGAAGCCATAAAAAACGCTCAGCTGTCCCGTGAAATGAGACACAGGCCTTACTCGAGAAGACATCGCCACGACTTCGCTAGCCCTTCTAAACAATGAAGCCCCTCATCCGGGAGATTATACGGTGAGGCCGAGTCACCCAGATATCTTAAATTAGAGATCGACTGCAACGGGTGGGTATAGGACGTTAAACTTGCAATCGAGAGCCCACAGCACAAACAATAGAGTCAGACACCTTGCTTCTTCGACATTTGGTGAAGGCCATCCTATCGGACAGACTGTCAAAGTGGAGCATGACTTCCCTCTCAAATCACTAAATGAAAGAAGTGCCCACTTAAAAGAATACTCTGTTGAGTTGGGCAACACAAGTGTGTAATACGTTCCCCTGAAGACCTCCTGTGCAATCGCCATACGGATGGAACTGCGCGGAACCTTAGTAGCAGTAAAGAGTCGCCGTTGCTCAGGATAAGTCCTCGCGCTCTGTCGATCTCAGAAACAATCCATCCGCGGCACTAACACCCCAAGACTGCGTGAATTAACGCCACTGAATCCCTGCAAAATGGATGGACCCCAGCAAGTCAGCCCCCAAGAGGATGCTCAGTTCAACAGCGTCAGGGGATGAAGAGTCAACAGAAGAACTACCGATGAAGGTTCAGCAGTTGGATTCAAGGCATGAACTGTGCTGTTCTGCAGCGCCATGGACTCTAGAACTGTTCAAACCAGTCCCGTCGAACGGGCTATACACAGGGCAAGCTAATCCAGTTAACAAGTGTACCATTTGAGACAACCAGTGGATCCTGGCAGCAATTTATGTATTTCAATAAGCGTTTCAGCAGTACAAAGTAAAATTGTAACCATGGTTAGCAGAAAATCCAGTAAATAATGGTTCGATAGAAAAAAATTTGAGTTGCATAAAAAACTACAGTATAGCTCACAAATCAAGTTTTTCAAAATCGAAGTGCGGTTCAGCCTCAACCGCAGCTGATCCACGATCGAGATGAGTGATCTCGTAGGTCTCACGCATGGGCTGCTTTGGCAGGCTACTGGGAGCCGACTTACAATCGCCTTTGGGTACAGCCTCAACCTCCACTACAAATTTGTATAGGATTCCGTTGACAACTTGTCGTGTACCACGCAGCGTCCGGATATGTTTGTAGTCAGAACAGAGATCCTTCTTCTCCTTAGCTAGATTTTGCAGGGCCTTTTGAATAATCGCCTTTGTGGGCGGACTGTTCAACGCCGTCTCCGTCAGCTGCTGAACGCCTCCGAGCAGTTGGGCACCCTTAGCTGTGAGCATCTCGTCGTTGTGAGCATTGGTTAGATTGATCAGCAGAGTTAGCCAAAAAATCACGGCCGTCGCCGGCGCAGCACTGGTCATGACGAGGTCGCGCGGGAAAGAGGAGAGGCGGCCTGCTGGCCTTAGCGCTGGCATGGCGGACATGCGCTATGGACCAATGAGAAACGTCAAAGTTTTGATTGGTCGATGCACCAACCAGTCAACGAATGGCTTGGCTGCTCTGTTGCTGCAAGATGCGCGCTCGCCGATTGTCGAGTCACGTGCATCGAGGGCTCGATAGTTAAGCCCGACGAGTTCGTCATCTGTGCAACAGATTTCGCGCTAGTGTAAGCATCGAGGGTCGCCATTGCGCTAACGATTTGACAACCGTCGCCGTGACTTGGGGGAAGTGCAGAGTTTTCACGTCTAGAAGGCTGATTTGTAGAACCAGTAGACCAGGCCTAGAGTCTAGGATTGGGCATTTTGCATCCATCGGTCATAACGGCACGGACGGTATAGGGATCGGAATATGTCAGAGAGTACGAGACCGTAACGAAGGAAAAACAGTTTTGCGTAATCATATGGACTGCAAATATCCACCCCATCCCCCCGAATAATTGCATCTGTTCACCGAACGGGTTTTGTGGTAGCAGTAAATACCCAGACGCCTCTCTCATGCCAAATGGATAACGCCGTCCTTGCCGTTCTACCGACACTTTAATGCGCAAAAAATGGCCTTCCAACGCACCCAGCACATGCGCTAATAGAGGGCTGAGACGCACGTTTAACTGAGCTACCACGAATGCTTGATGCAACTTCGACAGGCCCAGTTCATCACTGTTTCCTCCTCAAGTTTTCCATGCGACTCTTGACGAAACTATCAGCCGAAGTTTGATAACTACAGTCGCGGAAGAAAGACCAAGGGGACGGACGTGGGGACAGTAAATGACCCAGATATGTTCTGCAGCGGTAGAACGTTGATGAAACACTAAGCTAGGCCGTGGGCTAGTGGCTGTGCTGAGAGCATGCTGGAGCAACTGTCTGCAAACTAAACTATTCCACTTAATTCGAGGGTGGTGGGCGTGAATATGCGGTTATTCGGCCGAGGTCTGGTGCCCTTAAGTAGTGAATACACTCAGAGGGCCGCTGTCACCAATCCAGGTCCCGAGATATAGGATAACGTAGGACACAGCAGAATGAGGGAATTTACTTTACACAGACTACTCATTCATATTGACCCAACTGTGAAAAACTCGGCGCCTCGGTGGGATTCGAACCCACGCAGTAAAGGGAAGGCTTTAGCGCAGCCAACGCTCTAACCACCTGAGCTACGAGGCCCCGCCGGACGACGCGAGTTTAATCACATTTGGGTCAAGTTACCCGCCCAACC